CCCAACCCCTCTGCCTCTCTCATTAACTCCATCCGGTTTTTCCTAGACAGGGTTTTGCTGCTTTGCCCTGGGGTTTGGGCAATCCTCCTGCCTCAGCCCTCAAGTAGCTGAAACCACAGGTATGTGAAACCATGTCCTGCCATGGCTCCTCTCATGAGGAGGGTAGACATTGGTGACAGAAATGTCCTTTGCTTTCCCCCTCCCCTCCCTTACCCACACATCCACCAAGCACCGACTCTCTACCAGGCATAACTCTGGGCAGTGGAAAAGGGAGTCATGTCCAGAAGCAAAGGCTAAGACAGTACTGGACTTCCAAACAAGACGGCTATGACTGGGGGGCAGGCAGGGTGGGGGGTGCGGTGCCTGGAAAGATGCTCAGCAGTTAAAAGCACTGGCTGCTCTCGCAGAGGACCCACGTTCCATTCCCAGCACTGGCATGGTGGCTCACAGCTATCTGCAATTCCAGTTCCAGGGGATCTGCAATACCGTCTTCTGGCCTGGGTGGTCACCAAGTATCACATGGTGTACACACATACGTGCAGGCAAACACTCACACACATAAAATTAAACAAATCTTAAAATATATACATATATATACTCTCTCACGCACACACTCTTCTCTCTCTCTCACGCACACACACAAACACACACTGTCTCTCTCTCTCTTTCACACACACACACTCTCTCTCACACACACACACACTCCTCTCTCTCTTCTCTTCTCTCTCTCTCTCTCTCTCTGTCTCTCTCTTTCTCTCTCACACACACACAAACACAATCTCTCTCACACACACGGACTCCTCCCTCTCTCTTTCTCACACACACACACACAAACACACACACACTGTCTCTCTCTCTGTCTCTCTCACACACACCTCTCTCTCTCTCTCTCTCTCTCACACACACACACTCTCTCTCTCTTCTCTCTTGCACACACAAACTCTCTCACACACACACACACTTCTCTCTCTCTGTCTCTCTCTGTCTCTCTCTCTCTCTCATACACACACACACACACACACACACACACACACACACACACACACGGCTGTGATTGATTCCACTTTCTGTCATGATTCTCCACAAACACAGAGTAGACGAAACACCTCTGCCTCTAACATGACCAAGCTCTAGGCAGGGAAAGGACTTGTCCGGATGCCCCTGGAGGATAAGGAATCTCAACGCTGAAAAGCAAGATCCCACCAAGGGTGCGGGCTCTGCATGTCCATCACACAGACAGGCCCTCAGGAGCGCCAGGGCTCCCGGGCAAGGTAGCAAAGCCAGAGGTACCCACTTGAGAAGGTTCTCGGCTCCCGTCCGCATCCGCACAGCCTTCAGGATCTGCTGGTTCAGGACTGCCCTCTGGTTCTGCAGCTTGCTCCGGCCAGTTTGTGCAAGGGGATTACAGCCCTGATGAGAAAATAAGAAACAGCCCTTCAGAGATCAGCCACACCGAAAATGACGACATTCTGTAGAACGGGGGGATAAATGCTTAACCAATCCATAAAGTCTCACCAACGTGACTGCTCAAACATGAGCTGAACAACAGAGACTCCAGTGGAAATGCTGAAGTGGACAGGGAAATGCCCATGAGGCCTCAGCCCTACACCAGGAACCACAGGCAACTGAGGAAAGCTGGGATCGGAGGGTGGATCTCCCTGAGGAAGAGCACGCCAGTTTGGGTTTTGAGCACCAAAGGGTCAACCCTGAAAACATACACTAGTAACATACAGACTGAATGGGGTATATTTAGGAATATATGTGTATATATATATATATATATATATATATGCACATATATATATGCACATATATATATATGTGCACATATATATATATATGCACATATATATATATGCATACAATAGCAATCAGGGAAGAAGGGGCCATGAATCTGAAATCGAGTAGGAAAGGGCATGGGAAGGGTTAGAGGAAAGCAAGGGGAGGGAGAAAGATGGCAATTATAATCTCAAAAAAATGTTGTGACAATGTAGAAAATATATAAAATAAGAAAAGGCATTAAAAAGAAAAAAACCATAATAACACAGCCCCAAAACTGACACGGTTTGGCTGGACATGGTGGCGCACGCCTTTAATCCCAGCACTCGGGAGGCAGAGGCAGGCGCATCTCTGTGAGTTCCAGGACAGCCAAGCCTGTTACATAGAAATCATTTATTGAAAAACAGAATCGAAAACTACAAAAAGCAGACACAGTGAGTTGTTCTCTTTTGCCCCGGTGTCTACCCTCTCCCACCATGACGCTGACACTGATGCTGACACTGACACTGACTACCCCGTTCCCCTAGGATTAAAAATGCACCAACGCGGATGCAGCCCCCATTTAAACCAGCCCACTGGGAGCTCGCTACAGAGGAACCGCTGCCAGGCACAGGCTGAACCTCCAAAACCCAGGAGGGGAGCAAGTGGGGTGATGGAGCACTGTCTACACTCTCCATCAGAGCACAGTGCACCAACCTCATCAGTCAATCGATGGTAGGAGCACTCTAAGAGCTGGGCTCCCAGACAGTAGCCAGGACCTCGCTAAAAGCCACCTGGGGCCTGCCATGTGACTCTCTCCAGCACAGTGGTACTCACAGCCTGCTGTGCTTTCTCAGTGCATGCTCAAGAATTTCCCTTTAGGGGCCCTAGAGACAGTGGTTAAAAGCATTTACTGCTCTTCCGAGGGGCCTGAGTTCAATTCCCAGCACCTATGTTGGACTCACTCTCTACTCCAGGTTCAGGGGAGACTCAGTGCCCTCTTCTGGCCTCTATGGGCACCTGCACTCATGTGCATATACCCGCACATATGCCCACATCCACATAAATGTGTGTATATGTATATAAACACACATATATATATACACACATATTTAAAATAAAAAATAAGTAAACAAAATATCCCTTCAGAATACAGTGCTCTCTAAAGCCAGGAGCAAGGTACTGTGACACACATCCATAATCTCCAGAAACTCGGGCAGGAGAGGATTGCTACAAGTACCGGACAGCAAGACCCTGTCTCAAAAATAAAAAATAAGAAAACAAGCAAAAGAGGGTGGTGAGACGGCTCAGTGGGCAAAGCCACCTCCTGCCAAACCTGAGGACATGAGTTCAAACCCTGGAACCCACATGGCAGAAGGCGAGAACAAGCCTCTGTAGGTTGAACTCTGACCTCCACAGGCACACCATGACACGCATATCACACTAGAATAACAAACCACAATACCTTTGACCCCCACAGGCATGCCACAGCATACACACAATACCAAAATAACAACAACAACAAATAAAATTGTACAAAAACTCAAAACAAGCTAGGTGGGTGGCACGCTCCTTTAATCCCAGCACTTGGGAGGTATAGGCAGATGGATCTCTGTGAGTTCAAGGACAGTGTGGTCTACAGAACAAGTTCTAGAACAGCTAGGACTGTTACACAAAGAACCTGTCTCAAAACACTAAAATAATAATATTAATAATAATAATAATAATAATAATATAAAAATAATCTAATGTCAATAAGGGGGCAGCGCTGGCACACACCTTTAATCCCAACACTTGGGAGGCAGAGGCAGGCTGATCTCTGAGTTCGAGGCCAGCCTGGTCTACAGAGTGAGGTCTACAATAGCCTGAACTACACAATGAAACCCTGTCTTTAAAAAAAAAAAATCCTGACTAGGATGCTAAGGCATAACATGAAGGCAGGAGGGATTACATTGTATCTAAGATTCCTGAGAAATAAGATTTTAGTTGCTCTTACCACAAAAAAACAAATAATAGCCGTACATAGTTACATTTGTGCATTTCCCTATCCGATAGCATTAAGTTACAGAATTGAAAGACACACAATGTAATTGTTTTAGAAGTCTACAAAAATGACCAGCCGTGGAGGAACACACCTATAATCTTAGCCCAGCTGGGTCAGGAAGGGTCATGAATGAGAGCAGAACCTGCCTGGCACAGTGAAAACCTGTCAGCAAAACAAAACAAAAAAGCACCATCCACACAACCCTGTAAAGCCTTCGCGCCGGAGACACCCCTCCAACAAGGAGTGCATGCTTAGCTTGCTCAAGTCTCTGGTTCAATCCCCAACTGAGTATATAAAAGTATCCCCCAAGTCAGTGTTTTTGTCTATTTGGTTGGTTGGTTGGTTTTTCGAGACAGGGTTTCTCTGTGTAGCTTTGGAGGCTGTCCTGGCACTTGCTCTGGAGACCAGGCTGGCCTCAAACTCACAGAGATTCCCCTGCCTCTGCCTCCTGAGTGCTGGAAATAAAGGGGTGCGCCACCAACGCCCGGCTTTGTTTTTAACATAGTCTTCACAGCGGTACATGGATGGCCAACACCTGTTTCTGACTTTGGAGCATTTTAGCATCTCAGAAAGAAACTGAACATCCACTGAGTATCATTCTGCGTCCCTGAGCCCTGCCAGGTACAGGGTACAGGTACAGACGTGCTCGTTGGTCTGGATAGTTCACATGAATAGAATTACAGAATTATAGAATTATTCCATACGCAGCCTTCTGTGTCTGTCTTCTTTCCCACAGTGCACAGGCATGCATGTGCTTCCTGAGGCCAGAGGACAACCCCAAGTGTCATTCCTCAGGTGTCATCCATCTTGGTGTTGATACAGTCTCTCCCTGGCCTGGAACTTGCCACGAAGGCCAGGCTGGCTGGTTAGAGGCCGGGGCTCCTCAGTCTCCTTCTCAGCCATGTTCACAAGTGTGCACTCTGTCTGGCGTCTTTCCCTCTGGATGGGTTCTGGTGATGGAGCTCAAGTCCTCCAAGCACTGTACCGACTAGCTTCTTCTTCTCCTCCCCCAGCCCCATTACTATCTTGTTTCATTATTGTTTGAAAGGGTCTTATTGTACAGCCCAGGCCAGCCTTCATCTGTGGTCCCCCTGCTCAGCTTCCTACATTCTGGGCTTACAGCCACCACACCCGGCTAGCGTGGTGTTTTCAAAGTTCACCCAGATCACAGCCTGCACCAGCTCGCTCTTTCATCTTTAGATAAGCAGCATTTGCTCTGTTTAACCATTCACCAGTCACTGGACACTTGAAGTGTTCTCACTGTTTGCTGTCACAAATAAAGCTAGAGGCCCAGTACAACGTCCCACACCTAAATTCTCAGTACTTGGGACATGAGAATATGAGATCAGGAATTGAAGGCCAGTGTTAGCAACAACAAGTTCAAGACCAGCCTGGGCTGCAAGAGACCCTGAACCAAAAAAAAAAAAAATTTTTTTTAAAAAGATTTATTTATTCACCAGGCCTTGGCGCACACCTTTAATCCCAGCACAAGGGAGGCAGAGGCAGGCGGATCTCTGTGAGTTCGAGACCAGCCTGGTCTACAGCGTGAGTTCCAGGACAGGCTCCAAAGCAATACAAAGAAACCCTGTCTCAAAAAAAATAATAAAAAAAAAGATTTATTTATTTATTATGTACAGTGTTCTGCCTGCATGTATGCACAGGCCAGAAGAGGGCGCCAGATCTTATTACAGATGGTTGTGAGCCACCATGTGGTTGCTGGGAATTGAACTCAGGACCTCTGGAAGAGTAGACAGTGCTCTTAACCTCTGAGCCATCTCTCCAACCCCCCCCCCATTTTTTTAATTAAAAAAATAAAATAAGGGAAGAGGAAGAGGAAGAGAAACCTTGAGAAAGGAAAGTAACTCATTTCTGACCCTTTAGTTCAGCTGATCAGGGCAAGCGCCCCTGAGTACAGATAACCTGCTTTTCTCTCCCTGGGGTTCACGAAGTGTGTGTATGTGTGTTCGCGCATGTGCACACACACACACACTCGCTCAATCACTCACACTTGCCCAAGCCTTTAATCCTAGCACTCAGGAGGCAGAGGCGAGCAGATCTCTGTGAGTTCAAGACCAGCCTGTTTTACAAGGACATCCAGGGCTGTCACACAGAGAAACTGTCTTGAAAACAAAAAACAAACCATACCTAGGGGTTATGTGGTTACTTCTCTTTAACTATTTGAGAAACTATCAGATAATTTGTCAATTTCTATTTTATATTCCCATTAGCAAGTATCTCATCACTACGCCAAGCTCTAAGGTCCTCACTGGAAGATTCCAGCAAGTTCTCTTCCCACTGAGCCACACCCCTAGCTCTTCACTGACAGATTCAGGCAAGTAATCCATTTCTGACTGAGCTATAGCCCCAGGCCTACTTTTGTTTGTTTTTGTTTTTAATGACAGCCATCTGTCTCAGTTAGGTTTCTATTGCTATGATAAAACAGCAGGACCAGAGCCAACTTGGGAAGAAAATGTTTTATCTAGTCTTACAACTCTCTGGTCACTCTCCATCTCACTCCCCGAGTCAGGGCAGGAACTCAAGCAAGAACCTGGAAGCAGAAACTGGAGCAGAAGCCAGACTGCTGGCTGATTACTGGCTTGTTCCCCAC